TTATAAAAGCGTTATTTATTAAATTAAAATTTAACCTACACCTCAGAGCTCTCTCACTGACTGTCAAATCTTAGAAGTGGGCCAACCGAAATAGTTTTACCTTACATTTCATGTTCATTTTTCTTTCGCAGTACGAAAAACTCGAATAATTCGCCTGAGAAATGTACTGTTATTTTATTTTTAGTATTCGCATGCATATTTTTAAATACTTGATTACAACAATTCAGATAAATCTATTAACATATAAATAATTCAGGTAATCTGCGTTCGATATCGGAAATTTTTTTCTAACTTACTTCACCCCTCCAAAAACAGAAAACTAAAATTCACAATAATATTAATTCAAATTCGGCTGACTACATCTCTCCACCTGTCTAAACTACAATAGTCCAACTTACAACAAAAGCGCAGAGCTGAGTAAATAATAGTCTCGCACAAATACCTATACAATTTGACCTACTGCAATTATTTGCTTTGCCGCAGCTCATTTTAGGCTTTTGATTCATGCGAATGTACTCATTCACTAACCCGCTCATTTGTCAAAATCAACACTACTCGACGCAACTCGACGTAACTCCACTCCTCTGCACTCAATTGAGTTGCATTAATTTGCATTTAATCGCATATTTGACCGTGTTTCATTTCCTATTCACCCACCCTAGCTGGAGGAATTCATCAAGGACTTTGAGGAGAACGGGCCCGGTTCGGTGGGGCCCGACCTGGACAAAGGCAGCAAGCTGATGGACTTTTACGGTGCCAAATTGAACAAATACGAAGAGCGGCGCATTGAGTTGTGTAAGTACTACAATGACTGAGAATACATTTTTTTGTCTGGCGTAAAAATTCGCTGGTTTGCAAATTTTGTTTAAATGTATATGTATGTGCTTGTACTCACTGTTAATTTCGTATAACTAACTGTTTACTCTTGCAAATTCACCAAACTCGAAGAGCAGCAGTCCATTCCTTGAATCTTTGTTTGGCATTAGTTATTATAGTATTAACAAAGTTTTCCTTTTCTCTCATTCCAAATCAACCAACACTGATTACCACTTTGCACAACTCGCTACCACTTCGCCTTTATTCCATTTCATCTCCTGTGCTTACGCAGCCAATGCGGAGAAACTTTTCGATATGCCGATGGCTGATTACAATGATTTCTCAAGAATCAAAACCGACTACGAGGGTATGTTATTGGTAAGTCCACGGCGCATCAGTCAAATATCATCAATCTATATTATTGCACACCCCACACCAGTCCACAACAACAAGGCTGCTTAACGGCCATCCAATCACCAGCACCGTTCTTTAAAATCAAATCGTCAGGCAAACAATTTAATTTTTTAATTAATTTGCTTTGTGCCACTTTGCTGGCCCGAAGGTGGCAACGTCATTGGTTGGTGCGTGTAGTTTTGCACAATAGTTTGCTTAATTTTTATTAACTTTATAGTTTTACAAACTTTTATTAAATCGCCACTCACTACATTTTACCGTTCCTATGCCTACACTACAGGTCTACAAACTGTACAAAGCCTACAAGACTGGCAGAGAAGTTTGGTCGAAGACACTATGGGCCGATTTGGATCCACAAATACTCACGGATGGCATCGAAAGTTACATGAAAGAGTTTCGCAAACTACCAAAACAGGTATGTATGCGCATAGACTATATGTATGTGTATACTTGTACACTAGTATGCGGAGAGAGCAAGTCAATTTCTGCTTGAGTGTTGAAAGTTTCCTAATTAGTTTGCTTGAATGGTTTCCACTGGCGGAATTAGATAGTGATTAAGTGTACAAGTATATGTACGCACAGGGTTCATTGTTTTGATACCAAAGTACAAGTAGCGTTTCTCTTAAAATAATGAGATTTTATAAACGAACTCCAGCAAAAATTATTAACTGTCATTAATTTTGAAAAATATATACTTAGGTATTATTTGCCATTCTCACTGTAAGTTGGTTCGTACTTCCATTTTTATACCCTGAACAGGGTATACTAAGTTTGTCTCGAAGTTTGTAACACCCAGAAGGAAACGTCGACACCCTATAAAATATTGTATATGCAGAAATGATCGGCATGATGAGCTGAGTTGATTCAGGCATGTCCGTCTGTCTGTCTGTCTGGATATACTCGAACTAGTTCCTCAGTTTCAGCTATCGATCTGAAATTAAGCACCTGTCATTTCCACACCAAGAAGCTGCTCATTTGTCGGAATGGCCGATATCGGACCACTATAGCATATAGCTGCCATATAAACTGAACAATTTAATCTCCGGAGAAACTGTATATATCGGATGACTATAGCATATCGCTGCCATACAAACTGAACGATCGGAATGAAGTGCTTGTATGGAAAACTCTCATTTGACGAGGTATCATCACGAAACTAGGCGTGAGTTATTGCTTAAGGCAACAATTTATTCTCCAGATCACTATATCATATAGCAGCCATATAAATTGAAAGATCGGTATCAAGTTCTTGTAAGAAACCTTTTATTTGTGAAGCTTCGGTGCAACCGAAGTTATCGTTTTTTCTTGTTAATACACTAATTGGATTCTGAAAGAATTCTGTGCTTTTGAGATCTGGGAGCTAGACAAGTCTATGAATATTAATAGTTTCTATGCGATATATAGTTTTTTATAAAGTCAACATTTTTGATGAGAACATAAGATTCTAGGTGAAAACACAAACTATGGGACATACATATTTATCGAAATAATAATGAATTAAAGAGCTTCATACAACTCATGAAGCTGATTTCGCTTTTAATAAATTCACCTTCATACTGATGCTAAATGTCGTCTCGGGTCACATTCTCGACATAACCAGCAGTAGAAGCATGAAAACTCGAGTATTTCGACCAATGTCGTAAAGCTTCTCCACGTAGATACAGAGCTGCCGTATGACTTAGCGCTTCGATGTCAACATAAGCTTTAGACATTTAGTTATACAGAAGCAGATCGGTGGCTAAGTCCAAGAATTCTAAGTTTAGCTATCGGGTTTCGCCTAAGGATTTTTACTAAAAAAAAATAGCAAGTGAAGTATGAGCGCGAAAAACACATGGAAGTTTTTTAATTCCCTCTCTGCGCAAATATTTGTTTCATAATCACAAAATGCTTCACCCTATATAAATTGTACGCCTTGTTTCAATAGCTCATTCCGCTACTTGATTGTTTCATTCTTGTGTCTTCACCTTCAATGTGGACGCGTAATTTTAGTCCAAGCTTACGGCTGATCCTGTTATTCCCAGCAAACATCACCACCACTACTGTCTCTTAATTTTGCTTTTGCAGGTGTTGTGCGTTGCCGTTGCAATTTTGCCAAAAATAAAGAAACGCTTTCATCGAGGCAGCTGCAGCAGCGATGGCAGCAACTGTTCTACGCAGTGACACAATTTCCACTTTCTTTCTGCTGATTATGACAAATTGATTTATTTACTTTCCTAACAAGTTTTATGGCACTTTACTAGCAGTTTCCGCATGAACTTTCTGCACTTTGTTGTACGCCGGAAATATTTTTTAATTGCACAAGCCAAACAAATTCCGAAGTCATAAAATTTCTATTATGCATAAATTTCAGCAAGTCGGAAAGTTTTTTTTTTCTCTTTTCTTGCCCCTTTTCTTCGTCGACTGATATGAGTAGTTTAGACTTTGGATTTTGCCACATGACTGCCTTTCGAGGCGACTGTAAGTAGAGATACTCGTAGTTCATTTCGGTGTGACATTATTCATTTTAAGGTTGAGCGTATGATAGTGTATAGTAAATTGAATTGCGATATTAAGATGAGGTAAGACAAGAAATTTATCGTCATCTGATGCTCTTACTCACCGTTCAAAAAATTTCATTTTAAAGACGAACTATAAAGTTGGAAGGGTATACAGTGTAAATGCACTTCTTTTAAAACATATCCGAAGACAGGCAACATATTACAATCAACGGCTTTTCTAAGCCGCCTAGAACGAAGAGAATACTTGTAGTTCGCTTAAAGAGGAACGCGATCGGTTTAGCTTTAAAAATTCAGTTTTCTCATTGGTTCTTTAAAATACTGTATCTGAAGATATTCTAGTCCCCGACCTGATAACAACTTTTACCAGCTTTGGCAATAATCAATAACTGACTGAACTCTAGTAATCCTAAAATATGTATAATAGAGATAGACAGGGAAAGAGAACAGTGTTTCATGCTCCTCTGCTATATCCAAATTAGACGTAAGTCTTCTTATTCGTTCGAAAGCGTAATGCAATATTTTCCTTTTTAATTGGCAATCGCTATCCATATCTGCAAATCTCTTAGCTAATTGTTATGCATTGAATTTTACGCCGATATGTCACTGCAAATAAACAGGCACACTCGTGGACCCCTACATGCACATTATAGTTATATGTATGTATGTTAGTAAATGGAATTAAGGCACTTCGGCTTCACTAAACATATCGTAGTCGCACACAATCAATTCCGTCCACAAACCATTCGAATTTCATGTTATTTGCACAGCCGCTAAGGTCGAGCCCATTCAGCTGTTGTCAGTCGCATTGCAAGGCGTGCCAACCCGCTCGCGGCCGCTTCCCACCAAACAGCTTGCAATGTATGGTTGTGGTTGGTGGGCTTAGCGGTGTCAGCGTGAATTATGACAACTCTGACCAGTCGCCAGCAACGCTGCAGACGCGCGTTGTCACACATGTGTGTATATTTGTCGAGGCAGGCGAGCGACGCAATCGAACTCCCCATGGCGAGTTGTTTTCAAAATTTCATAGAACTCGTGGGCGCAATAAATCGCATTTCGAAGGCTGCAGCGGCGCATTCAAAAATACTACCAATATGGAGGTCAACACACCGCTGAAGCGGGCCAAGCGGCAGGACCACAGCGCCCAAATTGTTAATTTAGGCATACAATTGCCTAATATCAGCCACTGAGCGGAGTGCCTGATGCGTCCATTGCATATGTTGGTAATCATATAAAAAGCCTACTACGCCGGTGCAGCGACGGAGGCCAGCACCGATAATGGTACAGCCAAGTTGATGTTGTTGTTGCCAGGCCAATGACAATGGTTCTAATAAGAGCAGCAACAGTGACATTGAAAGCAATAACAAATAGCAATAGCTAACCGCAACATGTCAAACATTACATATTATATGTGGTGGTCGCCATTTCGCGCCAGACTAGCCGCTCGACCGGCTATTACGCATAGAGCAATTGCTATAACCCAACTTATGTTGCTGCCGATGCTTTTTTGTTATTGCCGATATTTTGATTATTTTAATTTCGTTAAAATTGATTTACATTTTAGTTGCGGTTGATTTGTGTGGATGCAAGTGAAATTGTGTTGGCGCTGGCTTTGTCGCATAAAGTCTGCGTCATTCCATTGGCTTCTACATGCTCGCGTTGATCGGTGGATAAACACAGTCGGTCAGTGCGCGGCGAAGTGCAAGGCGTGAGGCCCTTGTCAGCCGCCAGCGATAAGCACTGCGTTGTTGATTATTTATTGGCAGGCAGTGGCCTAATTTAGTCAGGCTAATAACGAGTCCATCCGCGCGGCTTAGCATTGCCTTGTTGCGTTGTGTGAGCGCTGAGCAATTTGTGATTGACCATTTCGAGATTGGTTGGCATAATTGAAATATGCGTTAGGACAATTGCGCGTGCTGATGGAAAATTACACCACATAAATTTGAGAAAGGTCCAACAAATTCATTTATGGGGGGTATGGCAAGCATAAATTTTAAATGGTTGCAATAATAATTTTATTTAGTAGTCAAAAATTCATGAGATTAAACGCTACATTTAAATTTGCCAAAAAGTTTTAAAGAATCAGTTGATATCACTGGCATACATTTTCAGTTTTCGAAGAGTTTTCTGAATAAACCCTATTATTGCACCGTTTATGTGGTTTAGACTCGGAAGCAAAATGTTTCTGAAAAGAAGATTTATTAATGGGTGTTCATAAAAGAGATTACAAAAATGCTATGGGAAGTTTACTAATTTCCAAACTGAAATATTTGGAATCTTTATTAATTTATACGTAAACTTTCCTGTAAAATATTTGGAATTTTAATTCTTTAATCTATAAAAAAAAACTCACTCAACCCATTAACTCTAACAGGTGCGCTTACTACCCTCTGGTATGATGCTCGAATTGAGCATGAAACAATTCAAGAATACCGTGCCGTTAATGGTCAGTCTCAA